TACTAATATAAAATGATTTTCAAATCAAATAGAGTAATCTAATTATCAAATAAAATTTCTAATTTAAAGGCTTTGCAGATAAGTTAGAAAGGATCTAAAAGATGTGAGACCTGTGTTAAGGCTAATTGGATGTTTAGGAAATTTAAATAAGTGCCAGAAAAGTGAAATTTCTAGGGCAATCTAGTGAATTTTTCTAAATTTACAAATGAAATAACATGCAAAGACAGATTTTGGTTTCACCTTTTTTTCAAATATCTTAGTGAGTTTTAGTTTATTTGCAGTATAATATATATCAAAATGATTAGAACAGAGTTCTTGTTCTTTTTCTAATAGGTAACAAGATATATTTAATTAATAAAATATATGGAAAATAAGCAAAAACCAAACTTTTAATTTTTGAAACTTTTCTCAGTAGCCAAGTGTTGCAGTAGCATAAAACTTGGCTGTCTAGGAGGAGAAAAGTAAGCTAAGCAACTTTACTTAGAAATATAAGTAAGGTTTACTTAGTAACATATTGAGAAATAATTAAATGTTTTTAGCAAAAATTTGGTACAAGTGATTTACAGAGAAAGTTACAGAATTGGTTTCAGATAACAAATTCTAAAATATGCAATAATTTAAATATCAGTATAAAAAAAGATAAAGTCAAATCTGAATGATTTTTAATAAGAGATAGTATAAGATCATTTACCTTAAAGTAAAATAGTTAAAGTTATATAAATACTGATTAGAAATAGACTAAAAAGTTTAAATAGACCATCTACAAGTAAGAATTAAATATAACAGATAATAGATAATTTTAAAATAAAATTCTTAAATAAATAATAACTAAAATTGTATATATAATTAACTGTACTCTTATAAATTATAAATGTATTTAAAATATTACTAACTAATAAAAATTATTAATTTGATTAAATGATTATTCTCATTTAATAAAAAAAAAATTTAATCAAAAAATAAATAATTAAATATTTAATGTTTATATTAACTTTTATTATAATACTCTAATTATTATAAAATTGACTCTTATAGTTTAGTTATTAAACTTTTATTTCTCTATAAACAAGATTAATAATTTGAGTCTAATTAAAAGTAAAATACTCTATAATAAAAAATAAAACTTATACTTAGATGCAAAACTCTATAAAAATCTAAATAAAGGTACATATTTGATCCAAAGAATTCTCAGAAGAAAACTAGTATAACAGAATGCAAATATTATTATAATAAAAAATATAAAGAAAATTATTAATATTTATAAAAAAGATTGATTTTATCTAATATAAAATTATCTCTAAGAGAATGGCGATCCTAGTGTAGTGGTTGGATTGTTATTCTCCAAGTGGCAGGTCTAAGGTTCAAATCCCACCTATGATGAAATTTGGAAATTAATCTGTGTTACAGCAAACTGTCTTTTAATAATCAGTTGGATTTGTATATCTGTAACCTTAAGCACATTATCTCGAATGGGAGTTTAGAGCATCTATGCCAAATGTAATATTACATGTACATAAAGGAATGTTAATAACCGGTATCATATAAGACTTCAGTGCAAACCCATGATAAGACCACCAGGTGTAATAAACTAAGGAACTGAAGAGTTGGAAACCTACTTGAAAATTCTTATATAAAGAGGTAGCATGAACTTTCGACAATACAATCAGACTAATAGAAGCCTATAAAACACACCTAAAGGAATAGGCAGATAAACCAGATGTCAAGATATGTAAAGGAGCATATGACCAACCAGACTTTCAGAATTGCCAGAGGAAAAGGTTACATAATTATACCATATTGGGCTATTTGGATTGGAAGTCAGAGAAGTCCTGTTGGTCCTAAATAGCAGTTAGTAAGGAATAATAGAGAAGACATCACAATGATAGGTACTAGGATTCTAGTGAACTTTACAAGGATAAAAATAATGTAATGTAGTAGTTAAACAAATAACTCCTGTAACTGCAAGTATTAGGTAACTATAGCATATTGCATAAAACTAGATTAACTGTATGTGGAACATGAAAGGTTCTAGTAAATTTTCTGTCAAAGATAAACTAGTCCTAAGAATACTTGAAGGCATCAGGTATTTTGGATAGGTGTAACCTTGAAGATGTCCCTATAAGACATGATAAACTATATATGCAGAGGGTTTAAATAGGCAAGATCTGTAATTGACTTGCAGGTATAACACCTAGTGTAGAATCTGTATAATAATGTATAAACAAACTACTTAAATTAGGCACCAAAAGTGCATGTGCAGCTAGTTGTAACCTCCAATGTAAGGGAACCTCTGGAAGCACCTGTGTCCAAATTCATGAATAAAAACATCAACTCCCATAGACAAAGACTTTAAAAATTAAAAAAAATAAAATAAAATTATCTCTGATATCATAAATCCAAATAGGTGTAATTATGAGATTTATTTTTATTTGGTAGAGTTTATATTAAGAGTAAAGTAACTTTAAGATTCATTATTAAAAAATTAAGTTAGTATTATAAAAAAAACATTAAAAATCAAAGACTTTAAATAGAAAACCCATAGATGGATTTCAGGTATAACAATTAATAAATAACCTGTAAGCAAAACCTTCAAATAGACAATGACTACAGTTGTACAAGTGACTAATTGTAACCTTATTAATATACAAAATATAATACCCCTTCTACAATATTTGTAGGTTGTAAATCTTTATAAAAGATCACGAGTCATAAATATCACTCTTTAAACATGAAAAAATAAAAATACTTTAATTATTATATGATCTATTATACACAATACTCATTTATAGTTTACACAATTTAATTCTATATATTCAGAGTACTATTAGGTATGCTATATAATAAATAAATCTTATAAATACGACAAGGTAAAACCTAAGTTGCAAATAGTGAAATCTCTACGTATGGTGAAATTCACTTTTATATAATAAAAAACATAATAAAATGCGAATTTCACCCTAACCCGATATACAAAGCAGATTTCACTATTACGCAACTCAGGTTCATCCTATTCTAATATTATATATATTATATTTACAATTTACATTACAATAACAGATTATTATAATTATAAAATGTACTAACCAAATAATCTGATCTTGTAAAATAATTTTTTTATATGTTACGCATTATAAAAGATCAGTTGTGTACATCAATAGTCTCTTATTAGAAATGTTAAATTTCAGTAATTTTACATAATTTTATGTAATTTTGTATAAGATTTAATAACATGTAATTGTAATTTTGAATATAACATTAGTTTCTGATATCAAATTTTCAGTGATTTAAAGGTTACAATTCAGACCGTACTGTTCATTCAAATGAAATGGTACTTTATGTACGTATAACTTCATACTCTGAAACTTATGTAAAATTACATGTAATATAAAATTGTAATTTATGCAACACAACCCTAATTACAGCAAAATTATCATCTGAGATTCGTAGAATTTTGAGTGATCTTGGGTAAAATTAAACAATGCCGGTCCATTCTGATATATTCCAATCTAGAATTTTGGTCGATATGCAAAATTTTAACTGCCGGTAAATGGACTATACAGTATGATAACTGTCCTAACGTACCAATCTAAAAAATTTCGCTGCTAAATTAGTGTTAGACGTTGCTATTAATTTAGGTTAGAAGAGTTTTCTGATACCAAAATTTCGCAAGAAAAACTTTTTGTTAATGCGTAGAAAGTGGTTTCATAGGTAAAATTCCGCCAGGAGGAAGAGGCAATGAAAAAATTGACATGTGCTATGCTCATTCCGAACGTAAATTTAATATTTTGTCCCTCATCGAGGAGGTGCTGCGGAAATCATAATACAAAGAAATGCAATAAAATACAATGGAATACAGTTACGAGTATTCTGTCCCTGTCCTTTTGTGCAAATATCGAATATAATTGCAGCATCGGTAAATCCTGTCCAGTAGTAGGTTAAGTTCCTGACTGTCGCTCCGACAAGCTGCTTGAAAATCTCCTTGCGTTTGTTGCGCTCGATCCTCAAACGATACCTACCCGAGCGTAATAACCTTAACCAATAACTTCGTGACTGTCGTCATGACTATTGACTGTCATCTGACAGGCCCAATCCGAAACAAACATGCGATAACTTGTGACTGTCGTCTCGACAGGCCACCATTTAACCCGGAGTTGACTGTTGCCCGAAAGGACCAACCTTATCGATATCCACTGAACACCGACTACTGACCCATTACACTCTTTCCTTCAATAATACCTACTCGAGCGTAATGCATACAGACAGGCAGTACAACCTAAAAATCCATCCAATTTTCACCGGAGACTTGCCAACACCATATGAAGGTGGGAATAGGGTGGGACGAAAAATCATCTTGTCTGGAAAAAAGAACCATACTGCTTAAATATGTTCCAACGATTACAACTCTACGTAATTTCGTCGTTACTCTAATAGTTACTCTAATAAACTCCAACGACATAATTACGTCGTTACTCTAATAAGCTCTAACGACGTAATTTCGTCGTTACTTTAATAAACTCTAACGACGTAATTACATCGTTACTCTAACAAACTCTAACGACGTAACTATGTCGCTAATAACTCGACAATCACCAAATCTAACTATTACAAATCGAAAATACTCCGCAATACGAAAATACGTCATGTCGTCATTATAACCCTACTGATCGGGCAGCATTTGATCAATTAATTACACTCCGTGTTCGATTCGAGAAAAAATGCTACTCCGAGGGCAGCTCATTTTGATAATAGAAATATCAGGGTACGTGTGTTGTATTGGATGTACGGTAGTTGAAAGTCCCTAACAGGAACTTTTTGTTAATTACTAGATGATGTATTTAGATTATACTATCCAAAAATGTGAGATCTTTCTTACACCATTTTAGATGGTTGTAAACATACACTTAAAATTTAGCCCACAAAGCGTACATAATTTAAATTTGAATTTTTTACACTCGAGAGGGGGTAATGTAAAACACAAAATCAAGTTGGTTTCGCCCAACTTACTCATTAACAACCCTGATGCCGCCGTGTTTCAGGGCAGGGTATTCCACTATAAAATTGATACTATTCCAGCATGAATAGATGTTCTACCTTTAAGATTGTACATTCAACGCATATTTTCCCCCGAAAATCCTATTAACCAATAAGAAAATTTGAATTTATACTTTAATGGGTTTATCATTACGGACAAATTTTGCCGAGTTTAGGATTCAGGATGGTTTGTTTGAGACACAAATTTCGTACATATGTTGATCAACTATCGGATGACGAATCAGACATAATGATAAATGGCATATTTCGTGAGTGTTTCGAAACTTCTCTTAAGAAGTCGCCCTTTTTACAATGAGTCTTGTTGGGAATGAATAATGAAACAAATAGAAATGAACAAAGCCAAATAGAATTTGTGAGTGAGACAAATTTATGATTGGTTTCTAGAGGGAAAAATTGAAAAAAAGGTTTGTGGCTTACCTTTTAATTATATGCGGACGTACGTATTTATTTTACATGTTCATAAATTATATGAAATTTAGATATCAATATAAATTTACGAAATTTAGATGTCAATATAAATTATATGAAAGGTAGACACCATTAGAACATATTAAAATAAAAATTTTTCTAATTAAATATACACAAATAAAATTGCAAATTATTCCAAGTACACACTAATAAACACTTTTATGAACTCATATGAACCGATAAATATTTATTTAATATTACCATTACCGTTACTGCACTAACTTTCGGTGTCACATGATTGTCAAACTTTGGATGCTGTGTTAAATTATGATAACTAATTACTCACATGGATATCAAAGCACGATTGATCACAGCTTTTTGTAGCTTGATCAACTTTGCATAGTCATAACGATAATGATTTTGCGTTGATCTCTAACGCTAACGCCTAATCGATATATACAAATATATGCATAACATGCGCAAGTTAAGGCTTAATGCATATTGATATCATCATGTTTTTATCATGATTGAGTACAGCCCAGCAATTACGTCTTCTCGGTCGCAGCGACACTGCCTCAAAGTTGTTCTTTACTTTTTTTACTTTAGAGAACTAAATAGAATATGCCATTAGGCTATGCCATTTCACGTTCGTCCTGACTTCGACAATTCGGCTTTTAGTTCATGAATAAGAAGCCACATATGTACAAGACACAGCCGTTCTTAGCTTAGTCGAATAGGCTTGGCATCATTTTAATTTCATATTCTTAGTTCTTGGCAATAAATGTAATATTTTATTGTGGATGGCTAGCGTTATAAACATGATGAATTACGTATGCAAATCTATATCGATATTATCATGACCTGCGATGTTTCTTTCTGCAAATAGTAAGGCTTATCAAAATCTTTCTTGAACAATCCGTTTCTTATTAAACATAATAGTAATAACAGCAACAATAATAACGGTGATAACGATAATAAAAATAACGATGATAACGATAATAATAATTATTAAATAAAAAAAAATGCTATATAAGCACTTTTTTGGATTGTTAAATTTTTCTCAAGCAATGGTCCTAACAATGTAGGAAGAATATAAAATAACCCGATAGTGTTATTGGTGCTCGTGAAGAATGTAATTCGCAAGGTGATTTTTGATTTTACAGACTTTAATCATTTAATATAAATTTACGTTGTTTTCTAATTTCTAATGATAATTCATAACATTTCATTAATAAAGCGGAAATATAAATGGTACCATCCAAAACGAAGCTCATTTGAACCAATTTAAAATTATTAATGCTGACAAAGAATCTATTCGCGGATCACAGCGAATGTCAATCCTCGAATGAAATGACTTTGATAGTGAATCGGTTTTTGATTCACTAATACTCAAAGCTTATAAATTCATTTTCTGATGGCTCTACCTGTTTTTTTTTTATCTATTCTTAATCGCGTCTTTTAAATGTTCTTTTCACATTGTAAATACTTTGCCTACCTCCACTTTTGATTATCCAACCATATTGATTCTGTTATTATTTGCTCTTGTGTTACCTATATCTTGTATCTTTCAATTCATTCTTTTGTTTATAGTGCGTTTTGCCTTTATAGAATCCCTTTATTGAAGTTTTTCTTTTGTTTACTTTATAGAATTTGCCTTAAGCTTTTTTTACCAAACTTTTTCATTATTTTGTTTTTATTTATTATTTTTCACCTTTGTAAATATTTCTCTTCCCCTTTTTATCCATCACTATGAGCCTTGCCAGTAAATAAAATGCCCCGTTTTTTTTTGCCCTTTTTATATTTATGTATATACGTTAAGTTGCTCTTAATCATTCTGCACATAAATTATGTTCTCTATTTTGATTGTATACCTGATAGCTTACTTTAGTTACATGAAAATTTAAATTTTTTTTTTTTTTTGTGTATTTCTCATTTATTTTCCCTTTTCTGATTTATTTTTGTTTCTGTTTATTAGTGTTTTAAAATAAAAAGAAACCATTAATTTCATTAAAAAGAAACATGTATTATCTGTTATGATTAGTGAACGTCCCAAATTATGTGATGAATAATATCGCGTGAGGTATTTACCTCCATATTGTTATTGCTGAAATCGTGTGATGCTATTCATCACATTATTTGGGACGTTCCAAATTATGTGATGAATAATATCGTGTGAGGTATTTACCTCCATATTGTTATTGCTGAAATCGTGTGATGCTATTCATCACATTATTTGGGACGTTCCAAATTATGTGATGAATAATATCGTGTGAGGTATTTACCTCCATATTGTTATTGCTGAAATCGTGTGATGCTATTCATCACATTATTCGGGACGTCCCAAATTATGTGATGAATAATGTCGTGTGAGGTATTTACCTCCATATTGTTATTGCTGAAATCGTGTGATGCTATTCACATTATTTGGGACGTTCCAAATAGTTTGGGTAACATCGCTAGTTATGATCACTAAATAGGTGATACTTAATTGTCGCATTTAATAATTTGTTAAGAATCAAGTTTTTTAATAAATCACAGCGTTATGACGTTTTATTACTTTACTTATCGTAGCTTTACATAATATGGTATGTACGTGTCTTGTGGAGTATTGAAAACGCGCTCGGGATGAAATTGTGTCACATTCTGTTTAGAAAAATTTCGGATATTGACCGAAGGATTCTAATTTTATATAAAGCGACGTCATGATGAATTTTTAGATATAAATGTCAAGAACGTAACTCAATTTGTTGCTTATTTTCACAAATTTATGTTACGCAACATAAAAAGTTTCCGATTATTTGTTTACGATAGGCAAATAAAACATCATGTTTACGGTACTTACGGACAGTGAATTTTCCCAAAATTCTATGAATGTTGTACATTGTTGATGCTCAAGACCTTTTTAGAAAAACATGTTGTATATCGATATATTTCTTTTGGTTTTAAGATATACCTAGACGTAACTAAACCATTCTTAATGTAGGTTTTAATCTTTTTTGTCAAAATGTCTAAAAATATCCAAAGCTGTTCCGCGAAAAATGTTTAACACGTGATTATTCACTGCCTATATTGCTGTATTGTAAGAACTATTAGTAAATTTAGGCAAATGTTACGGAAAGTTCGATTATGTTCAAAAAAAAACAATGTTTTATATTTTTACAAACGTGTAGAAAAAAATTATAATATTGCACAATATGTACTTTGTTATACGAATAAAAAAAAAGCAACAAACAAAAAGCCTTATGGAAGAAATTGCGAAAACAAATAGAACAAAGGAAGTAACCAACCAATGCCTATGCAAAATTCGAGAACTCACATAGCAAACATATATTGCCAAAAATTGTGAGAATTTTGGTTGCAAACTTAGGATCCAAAATTAACGGGTAAACATTTAATTGCGCGAGATTCCAAGTATACCATTATTTTTCAGAAGAACGGAATGAGTAAATTTCATAGAATGGAATTAAGAAATTATAGATATCGATATATGTATATAAAGTTATAAATATTTTTATATAGATTTATTTTGAAATAATGATAATACTAAAAAAAATATTTTCAACAATTCATAAACTATGACATTAACTTGTATTTATTAATTATCATATTGACTTTTAAAAGCTAAATCTCACCAGTGAGAGTACCAATATGATAAAGATTATAAAAAATTTTTAAATATAAGCTAAGTTTATGCATATAAAAGTATAGTAATATTTTAAAAAATAAACTCTATTTATATATACTGTATATACATATTAAAAAATAAATATGCAATTTTGTAATGTTCGAAAAAATAATATATTTAATTAATTTTTCTTCTTTTCCTGATTAATTGTTTGCACAATTGTCAACTCTTTATTCTATTCTTTCTTGTTGAAACTTAGGAACATATTGCAAATAAAAGACATAGGCAAACAAATATTTTTGAATGGTTTTTTTATAATATATTAAAAAACAGCTACAAATAAATCCAAACAAATTACCCAAAAAATACTCCAAAAATAAATATATTCTATAAAGTCTTTGTAAAATTTATGTATAGCTACTAATTATGTTTGCGAACTTTACAATTTTTCGTGATTATCTTCATTTAGTTTGCAACTATGTTTTATACTACTTCCATCATCAGGGTCTATTTTGTTTTTGTTTTTTTGCTTGTTCATGATGAATCATCTTGTGGTGAATCGTCTGGTGATGAATCATCTTGAGGTGAATCATCTGATGAGTCATTATCTTGATTATCATCAGACGAATTATTGTCTTGATTATCATCAGACGAATTATTGTCTTGATTATTATCTTGATTATCATCAGACGAATTATTGTCTTGATTATTATCATTATTTTCTTGATTATTATCATTATTATCTTGATTATCATCAGACGAATTATTATCTTCTGACGAATCATCTTGTGACGAAGGGTCGCTATATAGCGCATTCGTATTATCAAATTGATCGCAAAGCTCTGCTACTTCTTCAGGCATGTTAGGAATGAGTTTACTTGTAAGTATTTCAGGCGATTCTATTAACTGAGCAACCATTCCCATTTCGACGTGCCATTCAATGTGGCAATGGAATGCCCAGACGCCGGGATTGTCTGCTACATATCTAATTGCTGTCAAACTGTAAAAAAATATATTAATTTATAGGGAATTAAATCCATGCATATTATTTAAGTTAAACATAATCACAGTATATATAATAGTAAAAGTTTTTTTTTTTTTTTACCTTAGCGGTTTAAGAGTTACTATATCCCGCTTAGGAGGATCATTATAATTGCACTTTAAACTTGATCGGGAATTAGTGTTAGTTCCAGGATCACCTTGACAAACGACCCAGAACGCATGTCCATGCTATTTTGTAGATAAATAATTAAAGAGTTTTCCTGACGTGTCATATGTAATTTAATCAAAACTTACCAAATGGAAAGGATGAGTTCTATTTTCATCATTTCTCACCAAAAGTTCAACTGTTGCACCACTGGAAATATTGTACCCATATGCATTATCCGAAACAAGGAATCTGCTAGGGTCCTGGCCATCTCTAAGTCTCATGAGTGTTGGATACGAAAAATCTGGTACAAATGATGACTTATTAATTACCGCAGCCAAAAGTTTGGAGCTCGGTAAAAGAACAACATTGACCGTGAAACTAATAGTATAGACGTTATCTTGTGGAGGTGGTTCAGGCACATAGGGTTTCAAAGTATTTGGATCCTGGTCAAAGCAGTTTGGCGTAGGAGTCTTGAATGCCGTAGACTGCGGATTGGTTTCAGGGGCACCCTCGTAACGAAGAATGCCTAAGACGGTATAATTTAATGCAGAATTAGAGTTGATCGTATTAGGATCTCCTGGTCTATATGGTATGCTGCATCTACTAATAGTTGCTCTAATCCAATAACTGGCGACTGTCTGATTGCATTCAATAATTACTGAGTAACGTTCAGCAATGTTAATCGGAAGAAAATTAACAGTAGTTCTTTTGACATTTGTTCCTTCGACCTCAATAATGTCCATCGGGTGGTTGTCAAAAGACACCGTGAAATGAGACATGGCACTAGTATTTATTATTCTAAATCTATATTTTTTGCCTTGCTGGACTTTGTAGGTCGCGTATCCTTTATCTACACATGATGAACCTTCTGGAGCTTTACTACAATCATATCTTCCTACACCACTAATTTCCCCGGAATCAGGGACGGGATCATTGCCTTTATACTTGACTATAAAATGTTAATTATAATTATGAATAAATAATAATTATAAGTAAAACAGATCAATAAAGTAATGAAAATAAATAATAAATAGCAAAACATCATACTCACCACTACGAAACGTGGGCATGAAATTTCCTGTCGGATCATGATACCAATCACTTACAGTCATCACATATTCGTAATCATATGAACTTAAATATGGGTCATCCGGATCATGAATTACGATTGGGCCCTAAATAATTATTGTTAGCGAATTTAAACTTGTATAATAATTTCATTAATCATTAAATTATTTACCTTTAATCCGTCAACATATTGAGCCATGAAATGAGAATGATACCAATAGGTTCCGTATTGGTTTACAGTGAATTTATATTCAAACTTCGTTCCGCTTATCTGAGGACATTGAGATAATCCAGGAACACCATCAAACCATGTAGTTTCATTCATAAAGAGTCCATGCATATGAACTTGAATTAAATAAAAGTTATGTTAATTAAATCAGATGAAAAATGAATGAAAATCATATTTATGTATGGAGTATTTACTTGAAGTTGGGTCACCAAATTGATTAATCACTGTTATTTCCATGTTATCACCTTGGTTTGCACGAATAATTGGACCGGGATACCTTTTTCAAAGGAAAACCAAATTTTAACTTTTTTTTTCAACAGGTTGAAAAGTGATTTATACAAAAATGAATAACTTACTGTCCATTTACGGCCCACACCACACGAGTAAAGCCATCGGGATCCAAGTTAGTTCTTTTACATGTGAATGTATATTTACGTGTTACTGGACCATTTGTTCGTGCCAGTGGTTTAAATGGTTGAAAAATGCCAGGAGAATTTGCTGTAGCTAAGTTAACAGGCGGATTTGTATTTGTAGGATATGAGGATAAAGTACCCGTGGGGTTTCCAGTTGGACTAGTTTGTTTTGATGTGCCAGTAGGATTGGTTGATGCATCGGTGGGATTTGTCGATGAATCAGTAGAATCGGGTGATGAAACTTCTACTGTAGAAGGATTATCGGGAGAGGGTGATGTATCTGATGTGTCCTCGGGTTGTGAATCTGAACCATTTTTGTTACCCTTCCTTACTGGTCTATGCTTTTTGAATCTTTTGTTGTGATGTGAAAGTAAATCTTTAGGATTAGTAACTTGATTTAATGCGGGTGATAAAGGTGTTGATGTTGTGTATGTCAAAAGACCAAGCCATATTAAACCGAGGAAGGTATATATTGCCTTATACTTCATTGACAAGAGAATGAATGTCAAAAGTTAAGGTCACGAAAGATGGAAAAAAATTTTGGTGGACACACAGGTCAGTAAAGATTGCTCAAATTAAAAAGAACACCAGCTAGAAACCACTTTTATATAATTTCCTTACATATTCATTATTGGTTTATTAACGTTTCTCAAAATAATTCTCACATAAACATTTCCAATACGTATATAATTAATGTATTAAACATTGTTAATGATTTATTTCGGTATTTTTAGCATTTATTTGTCATGGAAAGATGACAAGGCAGACGTAAATGGGATGTGTAATAGTACATTTGTGTTTGTGAAATCTTGGAACCTTTTGATTTTGGAAATCATTAAATTACTGTTGTAACACATTTGCCAGGCGTTCTCCACACAATATACTTTTTTAAATGTTTCGAAATGTTATAAAAATGAAATTAAGTTCATTTACTAAAGTATAAATACTGAGAATATCTTTTAATATAAAAACTTTAACTTATCATATTTTTGATGTTAAAATTTGGTTTATTTCATGTATTGTTAAAATCAAATTAGGTTTTTTCCTTTTTCCGGAAATTTTAATTTTCCAGTTTTAGATTGGCATTATTGGTCCGAAATCAGATAAATCATTTGACTTAATCGGGTTTAACCTTATAATTCAATTGGCTGTAAATTATATCGAAAGTTCTAACATCTAAATATAGCGATAGTGATTAACTTGAATTTAACAACAAGAGCGAATATAATTCTTTAATTATTGTTTGTAAAAAGGGAATTCGTCATTAAACTTCAAACGATGTATGCATACATGTATTAAATATATAGGTACATCTATCGCATATGCAGTATATGCCTCCTTAATTTATTATACAGATCGCATTCTCTGTTGCCTTAAGTTTAAAAAAAAAATTAATAATATATTTCTATTTTTGTAGGATGTAAATCCCAAATGATTCTATAATACGTTATATAATATGCTTATGATATGCTAAACTGCACTAACGTATAGGTTAAATTTTAACACTACAGTACGTATTTGTTTTGAACAGATAAAATCCGCATCTGTCTTTATTTATGAGAACGAATTATTGAAATTAAATATACAAACTAACATGTAAGGAGGTCTACAGCAAAAGGCGGCTTCGGACTAACCAATCAACTTTGAGATTTTATACCTATAATTTCTAATTGTTATTATCGCCACATAGATGATACGTAATCATATACCGATTTTGGGCTAAAACCGTATTCAAGTTAGGGTTACTTTTTTGATGCAATTAGGGATGGTGGTTTATAAACATATCAATAATGCGATTTATGCAATATGTAGATTAATATGTAATTGAAGAAAGGTATTATAATTATAGATTTAAAATTGAATTTAAAAGATTTTTAAATTGCAATCGAAACAACATATACTTGTGTCCAAACATTTAATGCATCTAAAATGTTTATTTGAAATTTTTTTTATTAACTATTAACAGACCGGTCCTGGGACTGGGTCGATAGGATTGTGAGGACGGTATTAAGGACCGGTTCAGGACCGGTCCTTATAAGGTCCTCGTGATACTTGCATACCCAATAAAATGCTGATTGAATATACTCGTGATTTCCTGTGATAATTTAAATGAATCGTTAAATGCAGGCGAAAAAATCCCATACTTTTTTGCAGCATTCAGCCCACATGTTTAATAATATATAAACCCCTATATCTATTATCTACGATCACCAGCTCCAAGAACACTTGCCCAAACGAATTCAAAGCATAAAACCCATTTATTCTATCGCAACAAGCTTATACTTACCAAGTTAAACCGTTAATACGAAGTTTATTACTTGGCAAGATTTTAACAAATCCATTTTGGTTACCCTTTCTTTATACGTTGATTGCCAACGGTTTCATATGTAATTAATTTTGTATGCTCCAACAAGAAGTGAATATCTAAACAAGTTTCTTCGATATTTTAATTCTTGGCACGGTAAATGTTTAGCCTTCACAAAGATGCTTGCGATGATTTTTTTATTAACATAAATAAGTTACCAGGAAATTGACTTATATTAGCTAATCGGATCAGAAATATAAAATTGTAATCACGAATTAAATTATCATGAATAAAATGAATATATTATAATTTACCAATTTTAAAAAAAATATATTAAAAGAATGTAACTGTCACCAGTACCCAAATATTTAATGCATTTACTAATCTATTAACAATTTGTTAATAACATCAGTTTTATTGTATCATTTATAATTTAATTTAAATGATGTAAGGATCTCATGCAGCTCTTTCAATGTGCAATGTTTCAATATGATCGAACCCTTCAATGTGATCGAGTCCCCTTAATGTGATTGAACTCCTCAATGCGATCGAGCGATTATCGCAATTGATAACAATCCTGCTAAAAATTCATGGTGTAAAATGCGTATTTTACATTAGTTTAACTCTTTGAAAAAGGATAATCTGCTTCTCGGTTTGTTTTCATTGAAGTGATGATTCAATCTGTTACTTTCCGGCTAATTGAAAATCTTTGCCTTTGTCCCTTTTTGATTGTTCTAATAATAGCAGAAGTGATTTTCGATTCTCGATCCTCTTAATCCGGGCAGAATAACAAATTCTCATTTGAGAGTTATAATTGTCATCTTTTATTGAGGTGTTCTATCTCGATATCGGTCTAATTGCAAATGTAGCGCGGATTACATAATAATAATCACTAATCAAGAATTTTTATAATAAAAGATTTTTAGATTGACACTGTCACGCGAGAAATAGAATCTACACCCGTATTAGTGAAAAATGTAAGATTGAGTCAATCATTGCTGGGCAACGATAGGTATATTGGTAATGTACAAGATGTATTTAGTAGCAAAATCATATTTAGTAAAATAGCATATTTGATAGAAAAAGGCACCTTGGCAAGGTAAGTATATTACTGATTAATCATCAAGTTCAGATCGGACTTTAAATACGTGTTTCATAATAAATGTATACATTAATAGACATTTTATATTAAATTATTGAAAGCCCGATCTGTATAATTGCTGAACTCGATAATAATCAGTAATATACTAAATAGCATAGCCTTGGCGGCACTCATTTAGTAAATATATTTAGCAAAAAGGGGTATTTAGTTGAAATAGTATAATAAAAAATATATAAATAATATATATAATCTGATTTTAATAAAAAGCATTTTAGGATAAAGCATGGATGAATATATTTATTTAATCAAATAAATACGTGCATATATAATTTATGACGATTAGTGATTTGATTAGAGGTTGGAACCAGGGATGAAAATGCCTATTGAAATAGTGGCCAATTACTGCGCCATTATCCATTGTTTGAAGTATCTTTTTTGATGCTTCAAAATTAGTATTTAAATTACTAATTACTAAACGATAATCGTATTTTAAAACAATAAAATGTACAATATTACATATATGACCAATTAAATTCTAATGTAATGTGAATCAAGAACGATAGTTTGCAAATGGCCACTATTTCAATAGTCATTTTCATCCCTGGTTGGAACCAGTTAATAAAATTCGACTGTAAATTCGGGTTGACCCGGTTTTATATTAAATCGGTTTTCGGTTACAAAACTCCGATAAACCGGTTTTATTTTTGATCTCGCAATATTTAAGTTGTTTACACATGTATCTCATATTTACTAATTTCTCTCAGTTTTGAAATATAACGATTAAAATAACTAATTGCTCTTTTTTTTGACAAGTCACATTTATCTCAAAAACTCATCTAAGAAGTCATCTTTTGCTACTAACAAAGTGTAATTTTGCATATTGCTTTTAACTTTTAAGATGTCATATTTAAAAGGTGACATGTAAATTAATGCAATAATTTTAGCAAATTTAAATTTAAAAAAAATTAGTAAATATATATAATACAAGAATAATTAAGTTCTAAGTCTTAAAATTTATTATTTTATAATTGAATTTATTTAGGAACCTAGTATTTATATTTTTACATTAATATTTATATTTTTAACAAAAATAAAAATTTTAAAAATTTCAAATAAAAATATTTTAATAATCATCTAATCAAAAGTGTAGTAACTTAATCTTTCAATAATGTATGTATCTGTATTAATATTTTAAAATATTAATTTCTTGACATTATAAATATTATAGTTTGTTAATTGAACTATAGTAATATGTGCAAACTTTCTAATTTTTTTCTATAGTTTGTCTTTTATTTTAACACAATAATTTGAATATATTCACCTTCGTAACTTCAAAACTATATTGACCTATACAGAATTACTTTAGAATTCTCTTAATTGGCAGCACAGATATATGGACCTGTCAATTATGTTGCTAAATTTTTTAAGAAATTTGCTTCTTGATAATTATGACAAAAAAAAAATTTAAAAAAAGAACTATTAATTATACAAAATTAATTTTTTATTTTGTATTATATTGAATCTAAAATTAAAACTTAAAAAAATAAAATAAAATAAAATTTAAAAAATTGGTGGTTAGATAATGCAAAACAAAAATTAATTTTGTGCAGTATTATGTTTTAAAAAAATAGATATATATAAATAAAAATAAAAATAAAATAATTAAAATAATTAAAATTTAAAAAAAAATAATAATTAAACTCACATTTATAAAAAAATCATTATAGTCTTTAATTTCAATAATAATAAGATTAGTAATTTCTTTTGTCTTATATTTTATATATCTAAATTTATTTTTACTAAAAAATATATTCTGTAGGCTGTATTAGCTATACTATTAGTACTTATACTTTCTGTTAGCTTTTGAATTTTATTTGTAATAAAGTTATCTATCTTAAGATAATCAATTTTAATACATTCAGCTAATTTTGTTTCTAAGATAGTAATTTTAAATTGGTTTACTAATTCAACATAATCAGTTAAATTAGTAATTACTAGCTTAAATTTTTGCTTTTTCTTTATATTATGATTCTTTTTGTAATTAATATATGTTTTATTATATATTTATTATTTAAAGTAAA